ATTTCCCCGACGAATCATTTAAGATCTATTAATGAACATAATAATATTGGCTAATAATCATTTTCCTTAAAAACATTTAAAGTCAAAGATATACTTTTATAAGAAATATAATAAGGTATACTTTTATGCCTTTAAAGACCCTATTGATGATTAAAAATGTATTATTGATATATTGAAAAAATATATTAATATATAATAATTTTAATTATAAAATATATATTAATATATAATAATATTAATTATAAGAAATACATTAATATATAATAATGTTAATTGTAAAAAATATATTAATATATTAATGAAAAAAATATATTACTGATATATTAAAAATATAGCAATGAAAAACAACAAAACTTTAAACTAAAGAAAAATATTTGACCCATAGGAAAAATAAATATTATAATTTTTCTTGCTTTTATTGTCTAAAAAAAAAGATTAAAAAAAAACGCTTGCCGCCACTCATAAACATGTTAAACTGCTTTTTGTGCAGTAATCTGTTGCCATCTATCAAATAATACGCTGGAGATAAGGCTCTGTTGTATGGCCATGTATATAAATATTTGATCCATAAGAAAAATAAATATTAAAATTTTTCTTGCTTTTTATTGTCTCCAAAAGAAAAAAAACGCTTTGCCGCAACTCATAAACATGTTAAACTGCTTTTTGTGGAGTAATCTGTTGCCATCTATCAAATAACATTGAAGATATTTAGTCTGGTTAATAAGCTGGAGATAAGGCTCTGTTGTATGGCCATGTATATAAATATTTGATCCATAAGAAAAATGAATATTAAAATTTTTCTTGCTTTTTATTGTCTCCAAAAGAAAAAAAAAACACTTTGCCGCAACTCATAAACATGTTAAACTGCTTTTGGTGCAGTAATCTGTTGCCATCTATCAAATAACATTGAAGATATTTAGTCTGGTTAATAAGCTGGAGATAAGGCTCTGTTGTATGGCCACCTAACCAAGTTTTACCCTATATTAAACATTGCTGGTAAGGGGCTTTTGCTATGTGGGCTGTATATTATTCATTAAAATCAGTAAAGTGAAAAATGTAAAAAATTGAGTAGTAAATTTAATAAATTCAAAATTTGGAGATTTTCACCTTTTGAAATTTACTTGAATATGAAAAAACTTAAATTGCCAAGTGAGTTTGAGTTTTCTTGAATGATGCAGGGAATTTTTTTCCTTTCAAAAGTTTTTCTGCAATCTAACACTGAAACTTAATGTTTCAGTATGAGCAAAATGAATTCAATGTTTAAAATACTTAAAGTTTTTTTAAAAAAAATTTATTAAAAATGTAAAATATATATCTGTTTTAAGACTCAATTTTAGGTTTTTATTCAAACTTTATGTCTACTTATTATTGTTATTCCAAAAAATGAACCAAAACAACTAAATTAATTCGGTTTTTGATTAATAATATATATATTCAAATTTATAATAATAAAATTTTAAAACATGGAAAACTTCACCTAGATATAATTCAGCAATGTTTAATAATTAATAAGAATGCTGGTATTAATTTAAATGTTTGAAAGATAATTTATTCTCATTAAAGAAGAACGAAGGGAAAATACGATGAATATATAAATATAATTACTTTGCATGCATTTAAAAAGTATCGAACAAAAACTTTAATTACTATCATAAAACTCTAATTACAAGGCGTCTCAAAGAATGTGTCATTACGTTTTTTAAATAATGGAAAATAAGTTTCATCGAGTTTTTATCAGAAATACTGTATTAGCCTTTTTAAAAATAGCTGTATCACTTCCAGTTTAGGCATTATTATAATTTATTTAAAATAAAAGCGTATTATGCAAAATTTCATTTTTATATACTGATAGAACAAAATTTTTAGATATAACTTGCTTTCAATATATCTTAAATATATATTACAGATCAAATTTTAAAAAAACTAACCACTTTACTTTAAAAATTTTTTTAAATTCTGTTTAGTAGATTAACTATAAAAAGAACGAAATATTCTAAATATACACGGATATATGGTTTTTAATCAGAATTTGGGAAAAAAAAACTATATTAGAGCAAATTATATTGCCCTTGAAAGCTATCCTAAACAAGCTAATAAGACCGGTTTTGTCTTATATAGTAAATTTAAAAGCCATGAAGTGGTCAGTGCTGATGTCCATGCTAGACGACAATCAACGACCGACAAAAACATGAACATAGAGTTTATCTATAAAAGAGAGCACACATGACGATAATTTTTTTCCTCATAATGAAACCACGTGACTGGGTGAATCGAGAGAGAGTATTTTCAACTTAAGTTTCTCCTTGTTATTTTAATGGAAGAAAATCGATGCCGGTATTTTAAAGCCATGAATTTTAAAATATGATGATTGTTTGGAGCGCAATTGGTGGCATAGAGAAATTTGTTAAATGAGAACCTTATAAATTTCACAGGGAAAAAATTTATCACTTTTTGGTATTACATCTGTTTTATTTATAATATAAATAAACTTTTAACCTCTTTTTTCTTTTCCTTAAAACATCATATCAATCCCGATTATTCCATTTTATTCACTTTATTCCATTTTATTTCCAAAAAGCTTACAAGTAAACATTAAACAAATAAGAGAAGCAACTTAACCATAATCTAATGATTATATAAAAATATTCGTTATTAATACATAATTTTTTAAAATTCTAGTGTTAAAATATAGTAGGCGAAGTTTTGGAACCATTCTTGTTCCTTTTTTTCTTCGTTTATTTGCGTTATATATTTTTACTCTCGCTTATGTCTTCAAGAGAAATACACTCCTTTATGTATTTTTATAATTTCAGTAGCTTGCTTTTGGTTGTTTTTGTTCATAACAAACATTTGCTCGCAGAAAAGAGTGGTGCTGAAGGATTAATTTAAAATGATTCGATAAATAGGGTAAGGATTTTTAAGATTTAATTATTAGTTACTTAATAAAATCATTTGGTCTTTTTCAATTGTAATTGTCAGATTTTCTTCAAATGCAATAATACGTGAAACAGTCTAGAATAATATCAGAAGTATTATAGTTGTTTAACCTTGTCACAGTAGGTGTAAAAGTAAAATAAAATTGAAAAGTAAAATTAGGGACGCTTTTTATTATTATTATTATTAATGTAATGCAGCCTTTATTTTCTCGATTTTAATTAGATTTTTTGACAAAATGACGTATCTTTGACGTTACCTTTCTTTTGTGAATACCTTGTAAAATTCCAAATACTTGGAAAACTATTCATGATTTTATAAGATGTTGTAATATTATATGTTTTGTTAGATCAAAACTTAAATGTTCTTTTTTTAAACTTAAAAACTAAACTCCTTAAGATAAATTCTAAAATGTGATGCTTAATAATTATGTATCAAATATTGTATAACTTTAACAAATGAAGCAAAATTTAAATTAATTGTAGTTTCTTTTTTACAATATTCAAAACAGTGTTGGATGATATTATTATTAAAATAAGTTTTAATAAAGGTTAACGTATTATTTATTAGTTTTTTGAAATTTTTAAAATTCTCAAGTTAAATAAGAAAAAAACTTTCTTTTTTTAACTTAAATAATAAATGCGGATAATTTGCTAGAATAAACTATGTGAAACATTTTGAAACTTTAAATCTTAACTCTTAACTAAATCTAAACTTTAAATCTTTAAAACTTAAAAATTAATAGTATATGGCTATCACAAGATACATTTCGACCCTTTTTAAAAGTAATTTAAAAATTAAAACTTTCTTGATTTTGTAAAAATATAAACATCAAAATCAAAATTATTCACTACATTACTGCTCTGCTAATCTTTATGTTTCTGAAGATTTAACTTTCCAGTTTACCTCCATTGTCTGCATAAGTATAAAACACGAATCTACCAGAAAAGAGCACTCATCTGTAATGTCATACGACGCCTTTCTTTCTTCGCCAAAATCGCCAAATGAAAGGAAACACGTGACCATTGAAAAACTAATGTTTAGGACGAAGAGAAACGGGCAAATATATCAGCGGGCTTACTCTATTTGTATTTCAACTCGATGAATATGACATGTGAGACCATACTTTAGAACACCTAAGTTATTAAAGTAGTTATGTTGAGTCTATGCGTCGCTTTATTTAATAGGGGAAAAAATGCCAAATATAACGGGCGAGAAAGCATTTCTTTCAACAAACACTTTACAATAGCACGCTATAGGGCTCAAGTTGATTTTTTAGAAATGTATAAAACTCAGTATAACAGCTATATAAAATTAAAGTTTATTAAGTCTTTTTATTTTGTTAAACAAACTAAAAGTAAAAATAAAATCGTTAATAAAAAAAATAATCAACATTTTCAAAAAGTAACATTTTAAAAGTCTAAAAAAAAACAAAATACAAAAAATATTGAAATTATACAAAAATAATAAATCTTTTTGAAAAATAATTAAAATTTAAGAAATAAATAAAGTTCAAAATATGATTTAAAAAAAAACTTCTTCTGATTTTTTTTTAATTATAGCACACGTTAATTAGAGTTTTTTTTATAAGTAAATACGTTTTTGAATTATTTTTAAGTTGTAGAGTTTATTTATTAAAAGAAGCAAATCTTAATTTTTTTTTTGTATTTTGGCTTCTTAACAAAATATACCAAATAATTTTCGTATTTTACCAATAAATTTAAGTCTAATTGATTTTATTACACTAAGAAATACGGCATGGTCAGAATTACCAGAGTATGTTAAAATTTATCTTGTTTCTGGCTCTCCGGGAAAACCAAGAAGCTCGGTAATTTATACCGACGCACTTTGGTAATGATTTTTGTTACAGTATTAGTGGTTTTATTATATGGTTTCATTATGTGCAGTAAAATTTGGTAAATGTCCCTAAACCATCACGACTCTATGACCCCGTATAGAGGTGATCGCTGATGCTGCTTCATTAGTGTCCACTTTTCTCTTAAACAAAGCTCATATAACACTCATTGCGAAAAAAATGGCAACAACACTTAAATAAAAATGCATACCTGGAGATAAAGCACCAACTTGCACATAATACTTCCGAAAAACCACGTTTCTGTAACATCCCACAATACAGATGGCGGTAAGCAGAAGAGAATCACTAGAAAATCGGCAACGGCAAGATTGACTATGAAGTAATTAGTGACAGTTCTCATGGAATGGTTTCTATAAACAGATATGCATACTAAGGCGTTACCTATGAGTCCTACAAGGAATACAGTCAAATGAAAAGCTATCAAAATCCACTCAAATGTATTCGGGAAGATGTAAGCTTCAATCATATCGATATAGTCTTCGTCTGGTACACAGTACTCATTAGTACACAGTACAGTAGAATTCATAGGATTTGGATTATTCGGAGTAATCCCTTGCTGTTTTGGTGGTTCGGGAGACGAATAAACTAAATTATTGTTGTAGTCCCAATCACTGTACATGATGCCTGATTTATGTTGGATAAATTTAAATTGAAATCAGATCCATAGAATTTCAAAGATACGTCTTTATCTATCAATGATATTTTCTAAAACATTTTCGCTTATTAACAAAGTTTTTTGTCTATGAATGTATTGTATTATCCATCAACAACATAATTTAAACTGTTCTTCTCCTCTAGTCATATGTTATTATTTATTTTCTTCTGAAACTTTTCGTCAATTAATAAAGTATTTCAAAAGATTTTGTCTAGCAATGATATATATTTTAATTTCTTCTTGAGTCTTCACAACAATGTGTTGTCTATCAATGATACAATCAAAAGCATTTTCTTTTATCAATGATGCATTCTTTTCCATCAATGTTGTATTCTGAAGTACTTTCTTCTATTAACATTACATTCTTGACAATTAAGGAACATTTTAAACCATCTTTGTCTATCAACGACGTCCTCCAAATTATTTTAGTCCGTTAATGATGTACTGTATTTCAAAGCATTTTTGTTTATTAACTCTATCATAAAGCTTGTTTGCTTAACTTAATATCTAAATTGCGTCTTCTTTCATTTGCTTTCTTTCTTTAAAAAAAAAGTATTCTTTAATGTTTTTCCTCAAAACGTTGTTTAAATATTATCTTGTTTTAGACTGAAGTTTCAAAAACGTGTTCCATACATTGAATATTAAATAACTTTTGATAAAATATTACGTACTGAAACTCATTTTGTGTATGCTCAGCTTCTGTTAAGTTATGGACTAATTAGTTTCAATTAAGGTGTTGTTTTACACATTTTGGAGAATTAAATTGCTTAATATTGTTGCTTGATGTTTTGCTCAAAGATTATTTTTCAGATTATTTTGATTATTGTTTAATTAATTCTGCTCAAATTTTGTTCAGATTTATTCGATCAAATTTTCGTGATAAGTAGTTTCTGAAGAGGTATTTTATTCCACATTGCATTTTGAGGAACTGTAGTCTTATTGCATTTCTCTTGGATTACACACTATAGTTTTATACATTTTGTATTTAGTTCCATTTTTAATGATTTCATAATATGGCAAGTATAAATAACTTATGGGCAATATAGCATATAAGTTAGTTTCGTTAACATTTAGCATTCATTATTTAAAAATAAATGAATAAGCTCAATATCTTGCTGGAATTATTTTTATAATGATAGTCGAAAGACATTTATTTTATTAAAAACCGTATACTTAATACATATTTAATTGCATAAAGTTATATGCTATTTTAAGCAAAATCTTGAAATCTAAAACTCATTTTAAAACTATCTGAAGAAGAATTTCATCATTTAGTTATTTTCTATAACATCTAATCCTTCATTTCCTTTCATATTTAGTTATCATCGTTTCATATTTTTAAATGAAAAGAATTTAAACCATTAAAATCCCTTTGAAATTTGATTACTTTTTAAAATAGTTTTTATACCTGTATTTGATCAGAATTTCAAAACGCGATGATGTCTAATTGCTGTTTAATTCATTCTGATTTAAAAGCAACAATTTCAACCAATCAATACATATTCCTATTGATTTAAGTTGAATAAAGATTTTTCAGCCTCGGCTAAACCACTAACATTTTTCTGTTGTAGATTGCAATATGGACCTGCAATTTCTTTAAGTTTTTGCAAATTAATCTGAAAATAAAGAACGATATATTGTTAGAAGAGTATATAGGTTAAATGTACTTTTACATGTAAAGAAAAATTAAATTCTAAAACAAGATTATTTAAAAAATAGTTACACTATATTTGCATTCTTCTGAGACAAGTACTATGCCCTTGAAGACATTGGTCAATGAATATATAATTTTAGCGAATGAATTTAAATCAATAAATTTCAGAATGCATATAAACACACAAGAAAGCTTTTTTATTATTTTATTAAAATCTGTCATATTGAAGAATTTGAAAAAAATTAATTTATATACCTACAACCGACATTATTTATACACATATAGTCACATGTCATCTTGTAAAGAATGTTCAAACTAATAAATTTTGATAGAAAATACAATTTTTAGATTAAAAACTGTGGCTCTTTATTTTAATTTTTAATGTACGCAGTTAATCTTTTTCTTTGAAAAAGCATAAAAGTTTATAAGGGTCGCATACGGACTTCACTGCAAGCATTTTTCTTCTCCTAAATATAAATACGGCTAAATTTTGTGGACACTCAATTTTATGAGCGTTTGTACGCTTGTTGACTTTAATTTCAGACTACAAATTGATCTCCAAGAAAATAGCTGTGGTGGTTCAAGCGATTGAGTATGACACAGGCTCAATTCCCAGCGATGGCTGGTGGATACTAAAACTTCTTCTAGCTCACACCCACCACAGTACTGATATAAAATATTCACGGTGTTAAATGGATTATGTGTTAGAATCCGCTTGCCAACGGGATAATGGTTTTCGTGGTTTTCTCCTCCATGTCACGCAAATTCCAGTTAGTTCCCTTGAACTATGAATGGGTTTGAACTAACAGCTATCATTTTAGTTCATTTGTAATCAATATTTAATTCGCATAAATTACATATCACAATTTTCATCTATATTTAACTGACATTAATTCATATAACACGATTAACGCAAAATTCAAAACTTAAGCAAATTATGGCAAATTTTTTTGTTCGTGTAAGAAATCTTTTATTTAGTGATAGTCTATTTATAAATAGATTCGGAAAAAATGATTTTAATCTCTTTAAAAGCCATTTAAACTTAAAACAGAAATTAAATTTAATGTTTGAAGATGATTGCAATATAATAAGAACATTCAATGAAGGAAGTTTTCAGACACAGGGAAATGAAAAGTACAGCTTAAACTACCAAAACATAATAAAATTTACCGCGTTTCGGGTTCTATTGGAACAACAAAAAGCTTTGTAATTTTTACCAAAGTGCTTTGGTATTGATTTCGGAAAAACAAAATAAAAAATATGGTTTTATAATATGGGATAAATTTCAATAAAAGTAGTAAAATTTGGTAATTTTATTCTGATACCTCAGAGCATAGCATAAAAAGCATTTATACGGTTAAATTTATTTTTCAGTTTGTATTTTTTGGTTGGTAAAGTTTTGGTAAAGAAACGAAATTGAGAAAACTGGAATTTCCGATAAACCGTAATCGTATGAAAGGAAAAATTACAAAACGAAGGAATTAAATACCGGTTATTTTTGGTTTTATTAACCAGAATTACTGTTATCTTTTGCTAAAAATGTAACTACCTTACAGTACGGTCACTTCACCAGAATTTGTCTATTCGAGCACAAAACTACAATTACAAAGATACTAACATTTTAAAGATTCTAAAAGTTCAATTTAAATATTAAAAAAGGCTTTTATTAAAGATATATTTAATTAAAATAAAAATTTGAAGAAAAAAGTATTTTTTTACATGTTATAATACACGAAGAAAATAATTTTACCGTATGGTATCGTAATGGCTTTTTCGGTAAAAAAAACAGAAGCATAATTTTGGTTGATAACACGAATGAAACCAAAATATACGGTATTTAAATCATTCATTTAGTATTTTTTCTGTTAATATGTTAACGGTTTCTCTGAAATTCTGGTTTTCAAAATTATAGTTCTTATTACCACTCATTTAGTAAAACATACTAAACTGAAAAGAAATTTAATCGAATAAATAGTTTTTATGACATACGCAATGATGCCATGATAAAATTATGGAATTTTACCACATTTATAAATGTTTTTTATCACATTTTATCAAATATTATTTAATTGTTAATATCATCAAAATCATTACCAAAACACCTCGGTAAAAGCTTGTGTTTAGTGCTACAGTAGAGACAAAAACAGTGTAAATTTTACCATATTCTGGAGCTTTGACCATATTTTTTTTTAGTGTTTGATTAAAATAAAAAAAGAAATATCGCTATTCAATTCATTCCTCCATTTTAAATTGCATATAAGCATAATGCATTTCATTTGTAAAGATTCTGACAAATTATTAAATCCTACAATCTGTGAATTAAATACTGATAGCTTTTATCATCCAGTTTCTCTCTTAAATATTTGGACTTTTAAGCCATTGATCGATAGATTTCGAGCTATTTTAGTCATCGAACGTCACTTCTCATGCTTTTAGTAATCTAAAAGCATCATTTCTAAAGACAAGGTATAGAAGCGCCTGGTCAGCAGAGATTAGATAAAGTTTGAAATGCACTTGCTTTTCCGGTGCTATAACAGGGAACTATAACAGGAAAAGTGGGAAACATAACAGGAGATACAGATTATTCGTTCTGGCACGTTTTGTAGGAATGTATAAGTATTGAATTCTAAATCATAAGAGCACTGAATTTATTAGGAGCAGTTTTAAAAAGTGCCAGAAGCTAATGTAACATAAAATATTTGTAAGTAGTGTTGTTCAAATTTTTATCAATGATCTATTGCAACTTTAGAAGTTTTTTTGAATGATTCGATCTTAATTTTATAAATTTTTATCAAAAATTTTATGCGTATTATTTTATCTTAATTTTTATCAAGTTTTACTGGCTAATGTATAAAATTGTTACTAAACATATAGGAATTAATATAATTAATGTAGTAAGAAGATTTCTTTTTATTGAAATCTAGCATTTAATTACAGGTTTCATAAAATCCAAAGTAAAATCAAGTAAAATTTTTTAAATGCTTTCAATTTTATTCAAAAAATTTTATGTAACTAATGAAACGTGGTCGAAAAAATGTGGGTTAAGTTAAAAATTGTCGAAAAATTAATTGCAGGAATAATATAATTTCAATGCTTAATTAATAAGTATTAAAAAATATTTTTCTGCTCCGAAATAAACAAGAACATGCCTTTAGCCGTGCTCTTTTTATTGAATTAGAAATTAAAATTCTAACATAAACTTTCGAATATTTGTATTTCTGTAACCATTTTATTTAATTTTCATGGTCATGGTTTGAATAATATAAATTTTCATCGATAATAATAAAGACTGATCGGCGTATTTAAAATTACAAAAAAAACTGCATGATATGAATTCAATAGTTTATTTTATGGTATAGAATCTGAAATATTTGCAACTTTAGAAATTTTATATTTTAAAATATATAAGTGGTTTTTTATATTTAAGAATACCATCTTCTTTAATCTGTACAAAGTAAAATATGCCAAGTAGAAAATGTAATATATGACATTATCTTCGATCAAAAATTACAAAAACAAAACTTTACTATCCCCTTTAATTATTGGTATAAAAATGCAGTGCACATTTCAAAGCTAAAGTCTTATAGTTGTAAAGTTATTACTTTACAATTTATATAGAAAAATACATAGTATTTTGTATCATATTCAATAAAATATTATTACTTTTCTTCACCTTTTTACTCTTTAATTTGAAAAGAAAAAGCTTTGAAAATATTTTTTTCCGAAAACAGATTTATTAAATTAAAATCAGTTTTTTACTAAAGCTAACTATTAACTGAATAAAATACACGATAAAAAAGATTAGTTTTTAATTTGAATATCCACGCTATGTAATATTTTTATTCAAAAGATTAAATTATTACTATTAATCTTTGATAAAACAATTATAATAAAATTTTAAAAGTTTCAATAGTTCCAGTATTAAAAAATATGTCATTAATTTCCCGTCTGATTGTGACGTTATTTTTGCTTAAAAATTGAATAAATTTTATCCAAAATCTTGCGTAAATTTTTTTTTTATGAATTTCTTTCCTTGTATTGCTCTTTTATATTATAGTTCAATGCGACATGGTTGTATAACAAAATTAAATACTGAAAGTAAATCAAAATCTGTTTTAGTGAAAGTGGTGACTTTAAATAATAATTAATAATTTTAAAATAATTATTTAAAGGAAGTACGCGAGTAAACAAACATTATTTCGTGATTTTCATATATGTGCTAAATAACAGCTTACGCCAAAAAAATATTTTTGAATTGATCACACTAATAAAATATTCACTAAATAAATTAAATAAGCCGTTCGTCTATTGTTTGAATATGACACTAATTTTGTTTTTATATAAAAAAGTATAAACTTTAATTTTTGCTTATGATATCTTTTGCGACTATGGCGTTATTTTTTCTTCTATGTAAAAAACATGTTAAAAGTGGCC